AGAACTGATGCCTCCAACTACCGCCCAGTATTCCTTCTTCCTATACTCTCCAAGTTCATGGAATCCATAGTTGCCAATGCACTGGCGTGCTATCTGGAAAACTGTAACCTCATCACGCATGAGCAGCATGGTTTCCGTTGACAGCGGTCATGTACAACGGGTTTATTAATTGCACGCAGTAGTCAGGCCGATGCAGCTGACGCTCGAGAAGGCGTTGATGTGATCCACCTGGATTTTTTCAAGGTTTTCGATCGTCTAGACCATCGGATATCAGTCTCCAAGCTCCAGCAGTACGGGATCGGCGACTGTCTTTTAAGCCGGATTACCAACTTTCTACTTCAAACGCAACTAGTGGTCAGAGTTCGGAAGTCTTTATCGGAACCATACAAGTCGAGTGTGGTGTGCCGCAAGGCTCAGTTCTAGGGAATCGTTTCAAACCTCCCAATGTTTGCCGACGATATCAAGATTCGACGCAGAATCCAGGCAAACGCCGACCAACATATGCTTCGGAGTGACCTAGATACGGTGTATCAATGGTCAACCCTAAATTTTCTGAATTTCAACGTCAGTAAATGCAAGGTGCTTTCCATCCGACATCAGAGCAGCTACTCATACCGGCTCGGAACGAATATACTACAACAATCAACTCTCGAACGTGACTTGGGTGTCCTGGTTCACGATGATTTGGGTTACTCCAAGCAATCCGAAAAGGCCTCAAAGACTGGGTATCAACATCTCGGATTGTTGCGACTGGCGATTACACATATAAACAGCTCCATATTTCGACAAATGCTCAGTGCGTATGTTCGCCCCCCCCCCATGTTGAATACGCAACACAAACATGGCATCCATGGCTGAAACACGACCTTAATGTACTGGTGCAGCCACAATGTCGGGCATCTAAGAACGTAATTGGAATGCGAAAGCTTTCATACCAAGAGAGGCTGAAACGATTGGGGGTATTCAATGGGAGCTATCGCAGACTACGAGGCGACCTGATTAGGGCATACTGGATTCTGCGAGACTTACCTCATGTGTGCCGCCCTTTACTGTGACTCAGCACCAATACAACCCTGAGGGACCACTCATTGAGACTCGTTGTACAGCATCGCCTTCTGGAGTGCCGCATAAATTTCTCTCCCATTCGTGTCTGTCACCAGTAGAATGCTCTCCCAGAATCGGTTGTCGCTGCACCGATACTAATAGTAGTTAAAAGACGGTTGGATGATGCACTCATCCACTTATACTTTGTCACTTAGCACTACGTCTTCATCCTACACCTGGAGTTTATCATGGAATTATTTGATGTTAACTGCGGGTGTTGTGAATCTAAGCGGATTGAAGAACTACGGCGAGGCAAACGATAAGTCCTTATTTTCATATTTAAAGTGCTAACCGTTTTACTATCATTATTATCATTATTGTTATGTTGATATCCCCTGCAACTATCTAACGGGACGTGTCAAGCAACGCTTCTTAACCCGTATAAATTCATTATTCATTGAGCTCACATTGGAGGTTGTTGCGGAAGTATAGAGCCACCCCTCCACATTTGTTGGGTCGGTCGTTCCGAACAATAGACGTAACCGGCAGTGCGATCACCATATCACTTATGTCAGGGCGTAACCATACGTCCGTTATAGCGATAAGGTCGCGGGATTATGATCCTTGACGCAGTCGCATTTCGGAAAGCTTACTCAGTAAGCCTTGGGCGTTAGTGTACATACAGGAAAGCTACTCGGATGTCAAAAGCTGTTGGCTAGGAGCACTTGAATGATGTGGATTTGTGCCGACAGATGAGAGACGGTCACCTAATCGTTTATTTTGGTGAACTGCCAAATCTACACAGGAATGCAACCTGTTTTTCGTCCCACTTGCACCTGCGGAATCTAGTCCATCGGCAGCCTTTTCGATAGCTACGGGTCTTAGCGTACATGTTTATGAATCGCTGTTGTGGTTATATTGAATCGCGGGTAGTGTCGTTTCTGCGGCTTTCTAACTACTATCTTCAGTTGTAGTTCCGAAGGAAGTGTGTTACGTAGTAACTGCCAGTTGTGCATTAAGTTCACGGCCATCTGTTGTGACTGCACTGTTAGCTTCAGTATCCTCGGGCTATTGCCTCTGTAGTCTGGCGTCATGAGTAACCGTGTAATCGCCTGAAGTATGGTGTCGTCCGTACTGAGAGCTTCACGGATGTAACACCATTCTTCCAGGCCAAGAGCGTGGGCCTCTTCGTTGCTAGTTGTCGGTAGCTCGGGCACGCCATGAACGAAAATAATTCTTTTGCTACTCTTCGTGTGGTGGTCGTTTGAATTATTTTTGTCCCGCTGGCGTTCGCTCCATGGAACATCCGGAAATATGCGTATCCCACTGTTTTCAGTCCGCAGGCGGTTTGCCGGCAAAATCACTGTATCGACATCGTCTATTGATCCTAATGTTACTCGCATTAACCAGGACTACCCATAATGATTCGAGGTTGGATGTTTAGTGATGCGCATTATATTAGTCGAACTGGCTTGAACTCCAATTTTATCACAAAGGAAATTCTATTGGAAACATTATGGTGTTGCTTATCCCAACACTGGCACCCCACGACCGCGGTTTCGTCCTGGTTTGGGCTCATCAGGTGGAGATATCCTGAGCTGGGCTAGAACTCAGAGCCTAATGGCTCATGGTTGACGCCATGGAAATCCATTGCTTTAAATCATCCAGCTCTTTACCCACTAAGGAGTTTGTCTTGAACAATGAACAATGGTTCATAACGGGTAAAAAAGCAGGTGCTTGATATGTCCCGTAGGGTGTTTAGCGTGACAAAAAATGATAGCAAAGGGATAATGGAGTCGTCAGTTCGGGCGCTTACAGATGTAACTGCACTGTCGTATAAAGGGAGTATGAAATGAGAATGTACGCACACAAAACAACAGGGGAGTAGTTATTGTCCACATCATAGACGAGCAAAATGAAAAAGATAGCAAGGACAACGCTTACTCGTGTGCAACTATCTTGGATCCACAGGATACAGATATCCAGTTTCTATAGTAGTAGCGTTTATCAAATTACGTGCAGGACGTTTGGAGTGACTCATTCTCGAGTAGGATTATGGCACTATCCCCTGTCTATTGTGCATAAGTGCCAGCAGCTGGTGGTCATGAGCTATAGCACATAGTGTAAATGTGACAGGGTATCGTCAAGGCGTTTTTTGAAAAGGGATAGGGTAGGTGCATTGATTACATGTTCCGGAAGGGCGTTCCAACGCTGTGTCACTCGAAGGGAGAAATTGTTCCGTTGACATTCCAGGCGGCTGTACTGCGTGACTAACTTAAAATGGTGACCTCTTAGCGTGGTGTTTTGACTGAGTATTAGATGGGAATGGCATTGGTGGTTGGGGTCTCTCAGGATCAGGTACACCATTATGAAATCGCCCCTTAGACGCCGATAACGTCCACCGTATATTTTGAGGGTCTTCAGCCTGAGTGGGTAGGGGAGGCTGATCAAACCTATGACGCTCTTCGTTGCCCTACGTTGTGCAGTATCGAGCGCGGTGAGATGGTGCTTGAGCCAGGGTTGCCACGCTTAGATAGCGTATTCCGCGTGCGACCTCACGTACGCACTAAGCATTTTTGGAAAGATCGAAGGGTCAAACTTCCCGAAGGCTCTGCGAAGAAGGTCGAGGTACTGGTTCGCTTTCTTAGCTGCCTTTTCAGTCTGCCTCGAACAACCGAGGTCATCTTGAACTATCACGCCGAGATCGCACTCGTGAGAAGCCCGCTGTAGAATTTGTGGTCCTAGGCAGTAGTTGTGCATACTCTTGTGCCGTATACTGAGAACTTTGCACTTGGTGACGTTGAAATGCAGCATGTTCTCGATGGACCATGTGTACGCTTTGTCCAGGTCCTCCTGTAAGACTGTGTGATCCTCCACTGCAGCTATAGTGCGCCATACCTTTAGGTCATCAGCAAATAGCAAACAGTTAGAAGATAGCACACTCGCGAGATCATTTATGAAGACCAGGAACAGGCGGGGTCCAAGTACCGAGCCTTGAGGTACTCCGCACTGAACTTCGATGGATTCTGATAGGTTGCTTCGAACCCTCACATTCAGGTGACGTTGAACGAGAAAGTCTCCTATCCAGCCCAGAACAGGATCGCCGATTCCATATTTCTGGAGTTTGTGGAGGAGAATGCGATGGTCTATACGGTCGAATGCCTTTGAGAAATCCAAGTAGGCCGCGTCGACTCCTGCACCAGCGTCCACAGATTCCGTCCAGTTTGCACGAGCAATCAAGAGATTAGTTGTACAGGAGCGATTTTGGCGAAATCCATGCTGTTCCGGAACGAGAATTTTGTTGTTCTCCAGGTACCCCATTAAAGCCTCAGCTACGATGGACTCCATAACCTTGGAGATCACAGGAAGTAGTGTTATCGGGCGATAGTTTGCTGGTTCAGCACGGCTACCACTTTTGTAGATAGGCGTGATGATTCCGTGCTTCCACATGGTGGGGACGTGCATCTCGTTCAGACATCGTTGAAAGAAAATTGCTAATGGTCCTGCCAAACTCATGGCAGCAACTTTCAACGCTTTCGGACAAATGCCGTCCGCACCCTGGGAGCTGAATTCGCGCAGAGACAGCCTCTTCAGTACAGCTGCGGAGGTAAACGATATGTGATTTAGCTCTGATGGCAGCGTTATCTGCTTAGGCAGGATGTATGGTGATTGCGCGTTTTGGAAGGTACGGCAAAATGTTATCCGAGGACGTTGGCCGCCTCTTGTGCGGTTTGGGCTAACCCGCATGCTGTGTGCAGAGCAGGAATGCCGCGCTTAACACGGCACAAATTGTTTGCGTGTCTGTATAGCAGTTTGGGCTTGGAGCAAAACTTTTCCACCAGACCTCGTTGGTTCTTATGTTTATCTTCCCGGACGAGTTTGACACAGTGGTTCCTTTGTACTGCGTAGACATCCCAGGTATGGTCGTCCGGGGAGGCTATATAGGTGTGTCATGCAAAGTCCCTTAGTGCCATGCACTTACGTGTCCTGCTCCTTACGAAAGACTTCATCCTTTTAGGCCGGTAGAGTTTGGTTTCAGATGTCCTTGCCACGAGCTTGGTAAATATGTTGACGAATTCACCGTAAGCCACTTTGGGGGTTAATTCAGCTAAGAAACACCAGCTGGTTGCATCAATGAGGTCGGACAGGTCTTCATAGTTGGTTACGACACGATATTCCTCGGCATGCTCTTTAGGATAATCAGCGTAGCACATGTAATGAAACAATAGCGTCGCATGATCACTGCGGCCCAAAGGAGTATCGGTTATTACTCTCTCGACCATTAATTCTTCATTGGTGAATATTCGGTCCAACATGGATGGCCTGTCAGTTCCCCTGAATCTGGTGGGCGTAGTGACGTGGCCATAAAGAGGGTAGTCTGAAACCAGATCTTGCAGGTATGCTTTGAATTGCTCTCCTGGTGTGGCCTGGGATTCGAGGGCATGTAGGTTGAAGTCACCGGTGACTAGAATGTGACTGGACTTCCTGTTTATCACTTGCCTCAACGCAGCCATCAAATTGCAGTCCATCTCAGGAGTAGACGATGGTGGGCGGTAAACCACAACCAATAGGCCAAGATCGTTCCCTCTTAGCCGTCAATTACACCAAATGGCGTCAGGTACGTCAGTTTCTGGATCGTTTATGCGTTCGCATTGCATGTTGTGACGAAAAAAAGGGCTACCCCACCACCTTTTCTGGCTCGATCCTTCCGGACAACGGACATGCCCGTTAGTGCAATTTCAGCATCCGTTATCTCGCAGCGCAATCACGCCTCGGTGAGGGCGATGAAGTCCCAAGCTGCAGACGCGTTTCGAAGTCTTAATTCAGCTAATTTGCTGAGTAGACTTTGGGCATTTGTGTACATGCATGAGAGCTTCTCGGAGACCAAGAGTGTGTTAGATTGGATGGATGAAGCAAGTGAGTTTACACCGACCATTAAAAAGGTCGTGGACCCCGTAGTTCCGCCTGGTCTTCGGTGATGTGGGAAACGCGGTTATCGAGAGAGTTACTGATACTGATACTGTATTTAAGAGCAAGTAGAAAGGTTTCTGTACAACTCTATCGAATTACGAAAAATCAAAATTTACTTGTGAATTATCAGCAGTTGTGTCTGGTCCGTAAATCGTTTATCCGTGTTCGGTTAGAAATTTGTACTAGCGTCATTATTTCCGGACATACAATGTATTCTTTTGGCACTGTATGTGCATCGTTTCACAAAAGCACAGGTTTCCAAAATAATCGTCGATACGGGTTTTAAAACACTTCACAGAATCGGCCTCTATTAATCCTTCAGGTAGTGTATTCCATAAGTTTACGATTCTTCGTTCGATACAAAGCTGATGTGATACTTTGTTCATGCTGGGGACCCTGAGTTTGTAACGATGTCCTCGGGTGTTACAGGGTTCTCGCAGGTGAAATATTGGCCGTAGTATGGGGAAGTGATTCAAGTGTAGTACTCGATGGGTCATAATAAGATCAATTCTTACTCGGCGATAGGATAGTGTGTAGAGTCCGAGCTTTTCACAACGTTTTTCATATGGAAGTTTTCGTAGACTTGGTATCATTCTAGTTGCGATATGCTGTATTTTCTCCAATTTTTCAGTTTCCCACTGGGTTATCGGATGGTAAGCTGGGGCACCGTATTCAAGGATTGGTCTAATGAGCGAGGTGAATAGACGAGGGACGGTTTCTTCGGACCATGTGGAGAAACTGCGTCGTAATGCCCAGAGCATACGAAGTCCCGCACGGTACAATTTCTCTGTATTTTCTAGTGATCTTAAATCATGTCGTGAGAGAACTCCTAAGTCTCTGACAGATGTGTTGGGATGGAGCAACTGGCCGTCCAAGGTGTATGATCCAGTGACTGGACGTCTGGTGATACTGATGAACTCCGACTTGCTTGCGTTAAGAGGGAGTTGCATTTCAGTGGACCACGTTGACAGTCGCTCTAAGTCATGCTGGAGGCGAGCGCAGTCGTCCTGGTTTTCAATGATCCTCCAGAGTTTCAAATCATCTGCAAACAGGACACATGGTGACTGGAGCTGCTGCGGAAGATCGTTGATATGAATAAGAAATAATGCTGGCCCAAGTACAGTTCCTTGAGGCACGCCACTGGTCGATGGGAACCATTCTGTCAGATAGTCATTGACCTGTACTCTAAACCTTCGTCCCACAATAAACTCTTGTATCCACTGAAGTAACGTGCCACCGATTCCGTATGTCCTCAGTTTACGAAGGAGTACCTCGTGGTTCACTCTGTCAAACGCCTTACTAAAGTCGATGTACACCACGTCAACATCCTTCTGTTCATTGAGAGCTCGAACCCACTGGTGGTTTGCGTACATCAAGTTGGTGATGCAGGATCGCCCTTTCGTAAAGCCGTGTTGCGCTGGCGTCAATATGTCCATCGATTCGAAGAACGACAGCAGACATTTTTTCACAACATTCTCGAGAACTTTGGACAATACCGAAGTCAAACAGATCGGTCTATAGTTCTCTGTTTTACTTTGATCACCACCCTTGGGAAGCGGTTTAACTATCGAGCATTTCCAGTCGTTGGGGACAGATCCTTCAGAGAGCGATCTATTGAAAAGGTTTGTCACAACTGGTGAGATGATAATCGATAGGGACTTGAGTATTAGTGGGTGAAGTCCGTCTGGCCCGGGGGGCTTTGCACCATTGAGGTTGACGAGTAGCTGATGTACTTCGACTGCATCACATTGTAGGCTGTCGAGCAAGACTGGCGCAACCTGTGCTGGTACTGGAACAGCCGCCGGTTTACTGGAAAATACAGTGAGGAAGTGCGTAGCCAGGGCGTCCGCGCGCTCCGCGCTTGAAATGAGTGTCTTCCCGTCTAAGCTCTCTAAGACCGGTAGGTCGTCTCCAGGTTTCACTTGACGTTTCAAGTAGGCAAATATTCGCTTGGGTGCAGTTGCGGCCGAGGATGCTAGTTCCTCTTCGAACTGCCGGCGTTTCTTGATCTTTGCGGCGTTACATAAGTTACGCTGTTTCTTGTACACCGCGTAATCTTCATCACAACCCGAGCTGATGTATTTATCCCAAAGTTTACGACGTCGTCGCGCTAACTGTCTGTAATCCCTATCAAACCAATGCGGTTTGACAGGTCCGATTTTTGGATACTTAAGGGGAACGAACCGAGTACAGAGCGAGTTAAGCTTCCCCTTTATTAATGACCACCACGCCTCAAGTGACGCATCATGTGGTAGTGTCCAATCAGTCTGACTTGCGGCTTGGACAAGTCCGTTGAAGTCCGTCTTCCAATAGTTGAATGTCGGCTTCTGTTGATTGTAATATGGTAACGACAGTTCTAAGCTTGCTACAATAGAGCAGTGGTCACTGTTCGCCAGAGGTTCGATGACTCTGATCTCTTTTAGCTTCTGCTCGCAGCTCGTAAACATTAGGTCCAGACAAGATGCCGAGTACGGAGTTACGCGCGTCGGTTGGATGACATGTTGCGTTGCCCCAATTTCAATAGTCATTTTAGCGAATTGAGCCTCAACGTTGCCATGACCGGGAAGAAGTCGAACATCTGGCCAAATTATCTTAGGTAAATTTAGATCCCCCATCAGTAAGAACTGAGGGCGGCTCATGTGCTTCTGTACATGTGGTATCCAATCGCAGCAACGGTTTAATGGGCTCCGGTAGATAACCCCCACAATTAGTTCTGCGCGCCTGAGACGGATTGTGCACCACAATTGCTCGCATAAACTATCCTCGCTCCGATAGGTACTGATACGTTTGCCAGATAGTGACGATTTTATGTACAACAGAACACCACCGTGAGCCTTTGATTTTCGGTCACATCGGAAACAAGAGTATCCTGACACCACGACTTCTTGGGGTATGATGTCGGAGTTCAACCATGTCTCTGCAAGTCCTAAAATGTCCGGCCGCTCCGAGACAGCGAAGCGGCACAGTTCGTCACGTTTGTTCATTAGGCTGCACACGTTGGCGAATGCGACACGGAGGTCCTGGGAGGTACTGCGGGACGTGCCTGGAGGTTGAGCAACCGATTGATACGGGTTCGTACACCCTTCTTGATCACCCGAAAATTTACAACTTGTAAGTCAGTCTCACCTTCCTCTGTACGGCGTTTGAGCTCAATGACCGCAGTCTTCAAACGATCCCTGTCCTCGGGTTCCAAATCTCGGCGGATGTGAACTTTTATGCCTTTCAGCCTTGACAGACGAGACAGTATGAGCTGCGGCATATTAGGATTTGCAAAGGTGATCCTCAGAGGTCGACATGACTGGTTAGTTTTCTGGCCAAGTCGGATTACTTGTTTAATCGTCACACTGTCCTCGCCCACATCCAAGAGTCTATCGATGAGCCCCTGGAGGAACTCAACATCGTGATCATAACGTATCTGAGGGTTTTCATCTTTTGACTCCGGTACGTGGAAGACCATGAGATTATGACGCCTCAGCGAAATCAGTGATGAACCTGTGGGAGCAGAACTAGAGGCGCTTGACTGATTGGGTAGTTGTTTATCAGCAGGTGACGTCTGAACTCGATTACGTGGGCCCTTGCGCTTCTGAGTGGTCCATGGATCCTCGGTGTTCAGCAGTTCACAGACAGGCTCTGAGAAATTCACGGACCGATCAGTGAAGCGGCATTTCGTAGCTTCTGAGTCTGAGTCTTCCATCGGTGGGAAACATTGAACCTGGGGTTCGGCCGGGGTCGAAGACGCTGGTGGTGGTGCAGATCGCGGAGTGACAATAGAAGGCGAGGTGACAGAGGTACTTTCACGAGGGCGTTTGATCCCACGTGGTGAACGGTTTGTTCCTATCTGAAAGAGAGATTTTTCCATAGTTGTTTGCGGTCGCTGCGTATTCTGATGTCTTGTACCGCGACATTTATCACATATAACTTGAAAAAACCGATGTCGGATGTCGAGCGATTTTCGAAACACGTCAACGGACAAGCCAATGCACGAAATATGGAACAAAACATCACAGCTGTAGCATCGAAGTGCATGAGCCTTATTTCCCACAACTTTCGAACACGAACCACAAGTAGCTTGAGACGGCATCACAAGCTAGAGCAAATCTAAGATGGCGGACAGAGATGGTAGTATGGCAAATCAGTGAGATCTCCGGAATTAGCCAAAGAATAGCTCCCAAATTTGCACCGCTCGGAAAATACGCCAAAAGAAGAATAATGGTGCACAATTCACACAGATACAACGCTGCAAACACAGTAATCTGAGGTAAAAGTAGTATCCAGCACACGTTGATCCAAAAATCCGCGGCGTCCGTGGGTACAGCTTACTTGACAACTTGTTAGTGACGTCTCTGTGCGTTGCAACTGGTCTTTTACCCGTTTGGTGGCAGTACTGGGTGAGGCTACTGAGGCCGCACTTTGATTATACCGAGCAGCAACGGTTGCACAGGTGGATCGGTCTTAAGAGCGCTTCGGATTTCGTTGGTCAATCAGAAGGGTGGATGTTACCGATGTTGCGTCAGCCGATACATTGGATAGGACGATATGGGCGGTTGGGGCTAGGCAT